TAGTCAATGAAAACTATCCCACGCTCATCCCGAAAAACGGATGCCATGACCTTTCCTGCAGATAAAACGGTCTTCGCCTCCTTTGGAGACAGTTTTCCCTTTTGGGTCCACTGTTTTGTATGTTTTTCTATCTCGGATGTAATGTGATGGACCCATGTTTCATCCATGGTTATGAAACGACTCAAAAATTCTGTTTTGTTGCTGTGAAAGTTTGCTGAGCACTCAATTGAAACATCTTCACATTCTGCTCGAGTGTGGACAAACGCGGCACTCATCTTGCACAAAACTTTCTCATCTCTAACATCTACTAACATCGATATTTTTTGTTGCAGTATTTGTGAATTTAAAAATAAATCTAGTGCGTACCAATAAGTCATTTATGTTTTTTATATCAAATAGTATTGATTTTATATCAAATAGTATTAACCTTCAAGTATGTTAGTTTTGCTCTGTAAATGGAAAACTGTTGGGCAATAAACGCTATTATTATTATTATTATCTCAAAATTTTCAGATAATACAGTGCATTTCTCCAATGAACGGGTCAACTGAAAAAATTGAAAGGGATAATGAAATTAATGCATGAATAATTAATTTTGAAGTGAAATTGACAGATGAAACTTTCAAAATGGCAACTGGGCGCCATCTGAGAAAAAAATTATTGGAAAGGGGAGTCTTTTGATACACCATTTTGAAGCTCCTGACAAATGCTTCACAACCCTAGAATATAAAGTCAATATCTTCAACTTCAAGCGAATCCTAATGAATTCGATATGAAAATTGCATTCCAACAAGATGGAGCACTACCACATTACTCCATAAGTAAGAAACTATTTGGATACTACTTTTCCCGGTCGTTGTATTGGCCGTCGAAGTCCTACAGAATGACCAGCCTGCTCTCCAGATTTGACACCTTTGGACTTTTTTATGTGGCTATTTGAAGCAAAAGGTGTACTAAACTGAACCTGCTTCAATATTGAATATACGGCAGAGAACCATAAATATTTGTAGAGATATTGACGTTAATGTATTCATAGACGGATAGACTGTTCATATGTCAAGAGGTTCAAGACAACCATTTCAAGTATCTTCTGAATTGACCTCTAGCTTATTACCCCATATTATGTAGTTGAATGTCAATGTATTCAGGTAATTTTTTAAAGTACCGCCATTTTGTAGTAGTTGAAGATATTGACATTATATTCTGGGGTTGTGAAACATTTGTCAGGAGCTTCAAAATGATGTGTCACCAGATCCCCCTTTCTGACTCCCCGTCGCCATCTTGAAAGTTTAATCTGTCTATTTTACTTCAAAAGAAAGTATCCATGCATTAATAACATTATCCCAAATTTAAAGTTTTTCAGTTGACCCGTTCAAAAAATAAAAGGATGGGACATTAAAGAAATGAACTGTATGCAATGTACCGCACTTTTTAAAATACTTTTTGAGTCTGTTAGCTCGCCTTTCTCCAATCAACGATCATTTAGTAACGCTTTGTGGATTTTATTCACCGTTTTTGGAGTCGACTCCTCATTTGGTCGACTACTGCGTTGCTCGTGTTGACAGCTCGTACAGCCTCGTTCAAACTCTGCTACCCAATATTTTACTGTTGTAAACGAAGGAGCAAACTCACCCAGAATAGATTTCAGTTCAGCCTCAATATTGGTTGGGCTGAGGCCTTAATAAAAGTACTGTACCACAAAACGATGACCAATTTTCTTAATTTTCACAAATTCACCGAAAACTTCCTCTATTGATGGCTGCCAAACAAATACCAAACAACTCAGCGTCTTCAAACTTGAAACATATGCTTTATAGATGATGTACTTTCCAATACAGTGATACTTTTCAAACAACTACAGCCATCTCTAGGTTAGGCCGGATACTTCTGATATCACTTTGGTATTAAACCCTGCCGAAGACGATATTTCTGAAAACGAACAATTTTTCCCGAAAACGAACTCATGTCAGAAATTTCAAATAGACTCCTGAATGTTTTTTTGATCACTTGATAGAATGTGAAATTCTCTTTTCAACGATATTACACAAGTGACCATTCGTGATGGAATTGGTTGATACTTGATGAACATAATCTGATTCTATATCTGAATCAGATTATGTTCGTTCTATATCGTTCTATATCGTTCTATATCGTTCAATAATGTTTCTATGCGAATGAACAGAAAATATTTCATTCAGTCGTGTATCAGTCATATCAGAAAGTTATCTGGAAATATCTATTGAATCCCGAATACGAGCTCTGTATTAATATTTATTGCACTTACTTCTGTGTGAAAGGTTCACAATGAAAGGATCACAAAAGAAAAATGGACTATACAGGAAATAGCAGTCAGTAACGGTTTCTCGAGGGGTATTGTAGATGATATCATAAGAAAGAAAAAGTTTAGGTTGAGAATGAATGGAATCTCGACTTTTAGAAACCACAAAAATCAAAATAAATATATCTCAGTTCCATACACAAAAAACTTTGAAAACAAGTCGTATACTACAGAGCTCCGGGAGTTTGAAATTGTATGGAATTTAAGAATTGAATGTAAGGATACAAAATACTATGAACAGACTAAAAGATCCATTGGAATAAGATATAAGGAACACTTGGCACACCTAAATAAGGAAAGACCAGAAAAATCAGAAGTCGCCCATCATATTTTGCAATGAAACTATTCCATAGACTTTAGTTCATTAGGATTAGTTAGACAAGTTAACAACAACAGGCATCTAGATTCCTGCGAGAGTTTTGAAACGAGTAAGCATAATAATATCATGAATAACGAAGGTGGAACCTCCATAAAATCACAACCTCTCGTATGCCCCTTCATGTTAATTACTACTAAGAAGTCTTCTTCTATTATTCCGTCCATTGTGCAGTACCGAACAAATAATAGACACTGATATCCGAACTGGAATCGCAAGCAAGACTGAAGTATTTGCAGTTTTTCAGTTTGTCAATTACTGCCTCAAGCTAATTTTTGGAATATCTGCATCTCGGCGACGACTGGTGAATTCAGAAAGCGTAAGATTTTTAACTTCTGCCTAACTATCGTCAGTCACCGTCGCCGGATTCGAACGCAAAATCTGTTTTGATTTTGTAGTTGACTATTGAAATGATTCACTTTGTCGTGGGCCGTATCTACGTGTCGTGGGTCGTATATAAAGGGTGTTTCACATTCGATCCTGACCATTAGGATCTCGGGACAAAGTTGCGCATTCACTTGACTAACAATATGCTGTTGAAAAAGTTCTGAAATTCCAATTATATCCGGAAATATCCAGAAAAAACAGAAATTTCGGAAAACAGTTTTTGTTTTTTTCTGGCTTTATTTTTCCAAGAATTCGAAAATAAATTGCACTTTCACATCGCCACTTTTTCCCTGCTACATAATGGTGTTTTTAGATTTGCTATACGACGTTTCGTCTTCTAGCCACCATCATCAACTTTATTTTTTATAACACAACTGTACCATTCTTGGTGTTCGTTATTTCGATTGAATATCCCACAATTCGTGTAAAAGTATTTTCATCTGTCCAAATTACATTTTCCAGGAAAACAGGAAAATCAGGTCTTCTTATTAGCCAATTACAAAATTCTAATCGCCTTTCGGAATCACCTGGGTGCAATTTTTGAGATATTTGTATTTTGTAACATTTTAAACCGCTTTTTTGGAATGTCTGCAAGTCCTTGTATGACAAATATTCATTTCAGATGCAATTTGACGTGTAGATTTCCCCGGGTTCATGTTTATCTACAAATTATTAATTTTTATTGAAAGGGAAACAATGTCTAACTCACCTCATTTATCAAATTTTCTTCAGTTTCCTGGTCCATTCTGTCTCCGTATTTTTTCCTCGGATTTTCAAATGAACCAAACTTGGTGAGAGTTTGATCCAATATCTTGAACATAGTTCGATGTCTTTCGAGATACAAGTTTAAATACATTTCCGATGTCCTAACACTTTCTATCGTATTTGTAATAAATTTGTATCATATTTTTTTTTCTTCATTCGTGAAAGCCATTTTTCGCCAAAAATTCAATGATTTGTACAATAACAAAATGTCATTGAGTGTAAGAAATTGAAAGTCAAATTTAGAAACTTCAAAGTCAAAACCTATTATGATAAGAATTTTTTTTTCAATATCTCCAATATTTCGAGAAAGAATGATAACTTATGAAATATGAAATATGAAAGGAAAAAAAAGACTGACAGTTTTCGAGTTTTTTTCGATTTGACAACGTCTGAAATTCTACTATCAGTTGAGCAACTTACAAAATGAAATGTTACTAGTTTCATTGCTGTTGGACGCATTTCAGTGGGAATTTAACGTTGTTATGTTGGATATACAAAATTACCAAAAGTGACGTCATTATCTTCTTAACGTGAACAGCCTATAGCAAATATGAAAATTCCATTATGTAGCAGGGAAAAAGTGGCAATATGAAAGTGCAATTTGTTTTCGAATCCTTCGGAAAATAAAGCCAGAAAAAAATAAAAAACATTTTTCGAAATTTCTGTTTTTCCGGATATCTCTAGATATACTAGAAATTTCAGAACTTTCTCAACGGCATATTGTTAGTCAGGTAAATGCGCAACTTTGCCCCACTTTAACCATCTTCCTATCTCTCATAGTTTCCGAGATCCCAATGGTGAGGATTGAATTTGAAACACCCTGTAGATACTCTCACGGGAAGTGTTCAAGTGACGTGCTCATCGTTTTAAGATTCAACTTAGTACACCTCGAACTTAACTGTTTAAGAACTCTTCAATTTTGAGAACTTCCTGAGAATGTTTTAATCTCCAGCCATTCAAATCCAATGTGAATCGCTACTTCCGCACAGGCACCGCTCTCAAAACGCTCAAAGGGTTTTCCTGTAGTGCTTGTGTTTTGTACTAAGAAAAAACCCTCGCTTCTGTCATCTTTTTTACGTTCATTCCCAGCTGAACACGATGCATTTTTCTTTCATAGGGAACTTTTTGTTGCAGATCGAAGTGGTTGTCTAATCCTTGGATAAAGGGCAGCTATTGTAACATCACTCCGGAGTGCGATAAATCTGGTTTAGGAACGAATAAGCTCTCAGAGCCAGTTTACGTGGACGGCGTGCCAAGAATACTGCTGGCAGGAGAGGCTGTTAATGTCACTCACCACAGCACAACCCACGGAGCCTACGAGAGCGGGCATCAACAGGCTTCCTTTCTCTATAATTTCATCAAAAACTCTGACTGAAGTGTGTCGGTAATCGATTAATGGTCTCACCTTCGCTACGAGGGAATGTGGATAAGTTGCTCAAGCTGTAAAACGAGAATGTGATGTAATTGTGAGATTGTTTTTTCAAGAAATAAAAAAAAGTGAACTCTTGTTCTATATTTATTACGTTGCGAGTTCGGGAAACACAATTGAATGTTGAGATATGAATGTACAGGCTGATCCATTCAGTTTGCGTCAGATGTGTATTTTTGTTGAAAATTGCACAATTTCAATTCGAATACAGCCAAAACTCAGTGCATTTCAACTTTTCAATTCGAAATTTCGACTTCAGACTCGAAATTACGACTTTAAACTCGAAACTACGACTGTTTCATTCAAAATTTCGACTTCTAACTCGGAATTACGAGATTTCAACTGGAAATTGCGACATTAATCTGAAAAGTTTGAGTTTGGTCTCGGAATTTCAACTTCAAACTAGATATTTCAAGTTTTCTATTCAAAATTTTGGCTTTGAACTCGATACTATAATTTTTGTACTCGAAATTAGGACTTTTAACTCGAAATTACGACTTTTTAACTGAAAATTTCGACTTTTTAACTGAAAATTTCGACTTCAAATTATCTCAAAATTTGGAATTCAATCTCATTATTCCAAAATTACTACTTCATCTTTGGAGTTTTGACTTCAGTCTCGAAATTTCGACTTTAAACTCGAAATTACAATTTTTCTTTTCCAAATTTCGACTCTAATTTCGAAAGTTCGACTTGAATTCAAAATTTCGTCGTCAAACTCTGATATTCGACTTTAAAATTTAAAATTTCAACTGCAAACTCGAAATTACGAATTTTCAACTCAAAATTTCGACTTATACTCGAAATTACTACTTTTCAATTCGAAAGTACGACTTCAAATTCGAAATTACGAATTTTCAACTCGAAATAAAGACTTCAGAAACGAAATTACGACTTTTTACTCGAAATAACGACTTTAAACACGAAACAATGACTTTTTAATTCAAAATTTCGACTTTTAACTAGAAATTACGACATTTCAACTGGAAATTTCGGCATTAATCTCGAAAATTCGGCTTTGGTCTCGAAATTTCGACTTAAAACTAGATATTACGAATTTTCAATTCAAAATTTTGGCTTTGAACTCGAAACTGCAATTTTTGTACCCAAAATTATAACTTCAAACCCGAAATTATGACTTTTCAACTCGAAATTTCGACTTTGATTTCTGAATTTTGACTTTAATTTCAAAATTTTGACTTTAATCTCGTTATTTTCAAATTACTACGTCATCTTTGAAATTTCGACTTTAATTTCAAAATTTCGACTTCAAGCTCAGATATTAGACTTTTAAATTCAAAACTTCAACTTTTAACTCGAATTTATGCCTTTTAAACTCAAAATTTCGACTTTAAGCTCGAAATTACGACTCTTCAACTCGAAATTACGACTATAAACTCGAAATTATAAATTTTCAACTCGAAATTGAGACATCAGACTCGAAATTATGAGTTTTCACTCGAAATAACGACTTTGAACTCGAAACTACGACTTTTTAATTCAAAATTTTGACTTTAAACTTGGAATTACGACAAATTAACTAGAAATTTCGACATTAATCTCGCAAGTTCGACTTTGGTCTCAAAATTTCGACTTCAAACTAGATATTTCGACTTTTCAATTCAAAATTTTGATTTTGAACTCGAAACTACAATTTTTGTACTCGAAATTATAACTTAAAACTCGAAATTTCGACTTCTCAACTAGAAATTTCGACTTTGATTTCTAAATTATGACTTTAATCTCTAAATTTGGACTTCAACCTCGTAATTTCGAAATTACTATTTCATCTTTGGAATTTCGACTTCAATATCGAAATTTCGACTTCAAACTCGAAATTACAACTTTCTAACTCAAAATTCCGACTTTAATTTCGAAAGTTCGACTTGCATTTCAACATTTTGACTTCAAACTGAGACATTCGACTCTTAAATTCAAAATTTCAACTTCAAACTCGAAATGACTTTTTAACTCAAAATTATGACTTCTCAACTCAGAATTACGACTTTCAACTCGAAATTATGACTTTTTAACACGAAATTGAGACTTTGAACTCGAAATTTGGACTTTGAACTTGAAATTACAACTTTTCAACTCGAAATTATGACTCATTGATGTTTCAATATGAATCTTCGTCAAGTATCGACCAGTTCTATTCAGTTATTGAACTTAATATCGACTTTAAACTCGAAGTTACGACATTTTAACCAAACCAAAGTGCATTCGTCCCAATGGAAAAGCCAAGTATCACGATAATGTACCTGCTCACTCGTCATTGCTGGTTCGTAATTTTTTGTCCAACAACAGCCACCGTATTCTCCATATTTAGCACTCTGCGACTTTTTTCTCCGAGGTTCAAAAAACCTACGAAAAAACGGCATTTTGCGACGATTGAGGAGATAAAAACGGAGTCGCTTAGAAAGCTCAAGGACAAATCGAAAAGTGCATATCAGAACTGCTTCGAAGATTGAAAAAAACGTTTGAAGTGAAAGTTAACTTTCATTTTTGAACAGAACTCTTAAATTTAACATACAGAAAATCACAATAAACTATATCAGCGCGTTTTTTTCACAAAAGCGCAACTTCTCCTGAAAATATCAATATCCTGCCGGTATTGTGAACGAAGATAACCATGCAGCTTCGCATTAATTATCCCATCTCGTCAAATTGCCGAGGCCGGAAAGTTTTTCCGTACCCCGGAACGCAATGAAACGGCGCACGAAAATCTAAACTCTTTTTCGGGATCCTTCACTTTCCAGTTCTCGTCTGTTACCTTCTCGAAACACAACTGTGTGTCGGAGAAAGCCGAACGGTTCGCGATCTCGCACGACCACGTGGACTTCCCAAGTTCAATGAAATGCGATCTGAAGTTTTGAAAAGAACTCGTGGAATTGAATAAAATGAAGAAAGAGATTAACTCTACTATTCCTGAGAACGACATCCCCCCGGAAGTGTGGGCGATTTTACACGAATTCCTGCTGGGAATTAAAGACCCCGAATTGGACCTGAGGGAACCTCACTTGAAGACGGTTTTCTCGAGAATATATCCCTTCATCATTTTTATTTATGCTCTCCTGGTGGTTGCCGGGCTCTTCGGAAATTTGACAGTTTTTGTGTATATTATTCGTCATAAACTGTACAGTGAAGAGACCTACACTTTTTTGCTGAACAACGTTATCAGTGATATTATAAAATGTGTGGTGGTCCTGCCAATTTCTTTGTATGTGTTAATCATTCAAAACTGGGTACTGGGTGAATTGCTATGTTCGTTTTTGCCGATGATTCAAGTGAGTATAAAAATCTCGCATTGATGATATAAAATGAAATAGTGTCACACCAGGCACATATCTTTAATATATTCATTTTGTTTCATGTTCAGTAGATACTCGTCACTACTACGTGTTTGACAGAGAAAGAATTCACAGATTTTCAAACAGTACCTCGCCATACATACAGAGGTTTGTCTGAGGACTTTATCCAGCACGGTCTGTGCGTTAATGGTTGAGTAAAGGCCAGAAAGTTAAAGTCGACAGTTGTTTCTTGATACCATACATTAACAGTTTTTTTTTTGTGACGGGTTGAGCAAGAGGGCTTAAATTGTTATGTGAAAATATGGCGAAAAGCATAGACAGTCGTTTTATGGGCAAAGAGTTTTTAACTGAGTTCATAGAAATGTATAAAAGTCATCCAGCTTTATGGAAAATGAATTCAAATGACTATGTCAACAAAAATTTAAAGAATAAGGGTTATGAAGCTTTCATTCGAAATTGCAAAAAACTGAACATGTCTGTGGTATTAGGTAGCCCAGTGCTTGAGCAGAAATTCCAACGGAGTATTTAAGATCTTCATAAGATCTGCCTGTTGCAAGAAATCTAAGCGTTGCTACCAAACGTTCCTAAGGAGATATTTGGTTCTCGCATGGCAGGGTGGTGCTTTGTTGATCTTTCTTTCATCATAGACAATAATGTCTCAAAAGTTGTACTATCTATTCTGAAATAGTTTCCAAAATCATTAGGATCGTTTTGCCTCAATTGCTTTAATAAAGGCAAATGACTCGAGTTTCTTTTTGCATTAGCCATTTTTTCACCCATTTGCTTCGGCGTTTTGTGGTCTTAGAGTAAAAAGTATTTGTCAGAAGATGTATATTAATCATACCCAAACACAATGCAACTTTTTTCTTATTTGTTGAAAGATTTTGCCACTAACTAACAGTAACATATCTTGTCAAGTTAGTGGAGTAACGGCATGAAACCGTGCTGGATAAAGTCCTCAGACAAACCTCTGTGTGTATGGCCGGCTAATTAATTATTTATTTCATCAATACTTCGACCCGTTACTTAGTGAAAATCAATAACACTATTCATGATAAAAATTACAAATTTTCACAATGAAGAATTTATTTCCAATACGCAATTCACTGAAACAATAGCTTCCTCATATTTGACTGGTATGCTACACAACTTTACAATGCAAGCTTTTCTAAAAGGGAGAACCGATTGATAAGCAGGTTGTTATGAGAACAATCTTGCAGCACATACAAAGCAGGGCCGCTGTAACCACTTTCAATACCACTTTTTCAATCGATTTATATTTTGCCTCAAATAGGCCTCAATTTCAGCCTCTTCATTCAAGCGAAATTTTTTACCGGCGAGCATTTTCTTCAGGTCTGTGAACAGAATAAAGTCGCTGTAGGCCAGACCAGGAGAATACGACGGATGTGGAAGCAAATCGAAGCTCAATTCATGCAATTTTACCATTGTTTTGATTGACTTGTGACATAGTGCGTTGGTTTGATGAAACAACTTTTTTTCTTTGCCATATGCAGTCGCTTCTTTGCAATTTTGGCCTCCATATACACTAATAACACTATATAATATTCACTGTTGATGGTATTTCCCTTCTCGAACTAGTCGTATAGGCCGTATAGGTATCACTGGGTCCTAAAATTCTCAGTTCAGCCGCTTCCTTGACTAAAGAGTTGGCAATGCGACTACCTTCACTCCTGTCGTGCCTTCAACCCATCTCAGGATGGTGTTATTATCTACCAAGGCTCTTGCTGAATCTTGGTGGCACTCTAGTTATATCCTTGAGGTAACACGTTGTCTGTTCTAGGCTAATAGGGCCTGTCTACTGTCAGAGCAGATTTTTATGATATTGCCAGAAATTCCTCTCCTGTTTTTTTGTGGTCAATGAGATACCAGCCAGTTATGTATGCAGCAGAAGTTACGCAGTAAGCACTTCTCGCCATAGGCTTAGCCTCAATTGACCCATTCTAACTTCGAGGTTCACACCAGCAAATGTAGATCAATAATTCAATCTTGCTTTTCACCAAGTACCTTCTTCAAAAAAATCAAAAATACTTGAAAATATTCAACGAAAGTCATTTTCTGTGGAGGAAGAAATCAGTTTTTTATCGACCTTTTTTTTGGGTAATGGTTACCTTCCACAATCTGAAAAAATATAAAAATTATAATGGAGAACTTTATACAAGTGTAGAAGGTCAAACTTTTTAGTTTACCCCGATAAGTTACTGCGTAAAAATCAAAGTATTTTTCACAAAGAAAAATCTTCTATTTATCAGTAACTTGTCGTATTTCACAATTTTGCCTATCAAAAAAAATATTAAGGAATTATACTTATCTTTTACGTTTCGGAGGCCAAAATCTGCCTCCGTCTTCAGAAATGGATAAAAATTCGAATAAATATGCAGTTATTCCTTTTTTGAGAGCTTATTTCTTCACTTCTTCGACAGATGTCAAAGAAGTTTTGAAATATGAAATTATGTCAATGTTGTTGATTGACAACTGAAATATTCGATGTAATACAAGGTACTCTCCGATATCAGTTTGTTGCCATTTCGCCACTATCCAAAGTTTTCTTCAAGATGGGTAGCCAAGTACGATCTATTTCTAAGGAGCTATTCGAGATGCAATTCTCTCCAGACATGAGAATATACGCTGATTCTTTTAGCTTACGTCTCTTAGAATGAGGCTCATTGGTAATCTTTCTTGTCCTATTCCATTCCACCCGATGTTCACCGTCTGATTTTAAAATGTGTTCTGATAATTTTGATCCTGTCAATTGTCTATTTTTTATATAATCTCGATGTTCATTCTCACGCACTTTCAATGGTCTTGAGGTTTCACCAATGTAACTTTTACCACAAGAACAAGGTATTTTATAAATACAATTTTTTGTTTTTTCTTCAGTGTTGTTGGGTTTTGTATGTGTGAGTATAGATCTCAGTGTATTTTTTGTTCTGAAAGTAGTTCTAACATCATATCTATTTCCAATTCGTCTTATTTTTTCAGATAGTCTTGGAATGTAAGGTATAACGTTAGTTGTAAAAGGTGTCGTTGGATGTTAAGTCGGTAATTGTTGAGTTGGATGTTGTTGAATTTGTGAAGCTGTTTGTATGTTCGTTTGGTTTTTAATTGACTCTTTATTTTCTATTGAATTTATTGTTGAATTTATGAAAGAATCTGGATAAGCGTTATCTTTCAAAACAGATTTAATTAATGATATTTCTTTATTGAGATTTTCAGTTGAGTTGCATATCATTTTAGCTCTTTTGTAAAGGCAATTTATTATACCTTTTTTAACACTCGCATGATGATTTGATGTATAGTGGAGATATCTATTTGTATGTGTTTTCTTCCGATAAACATTTGTATCAAGTTGATCTGATGACTTCTCCAACATTACATCAAGGAAAGGGAGTCGACCATCTTGTTCAATCTCTATTGTGAATTTTATTGTCGGCTCCCGCTCGTTGATATAATTTAAAAAAGTATTCAGGTCATCGTTGTTTCTATTCCAAATAGCAAAAATGTTTTGAACGTTAGTGAATACATAGATAAAAAGTAAATAGATCCCAGTCATCTTCTGCAATAACCCAATAATTTTTTGATTAACCTCGTTTATATTCATGTCATGATTTGAACACCTGAATTCCAGAAGGAAATGACCACTGTGCATTTGTACACTCCTACTCCTACATAGATAGAATCTTAATGAAGTTTGGTCGTGTTATAAAAGCTCCTTTCTGATTTATTTTTTTAAATCAATTTTGGCAGCTGCTATCACCAAATGCAGATTTCTCCACATCAAAATTTGAAAGTGCCAGTCGCACGAAGTCCGGTCTTTTTGAAATCTGATCATTTGGTGTACCTACTTATATTCTCTCTCATTATGTGGTTCCAGAACTTAATTGAAATGTTTGTCATCCACTATTCCCTTCTCGATAGATTGACAAAAAGTCTCTTATTTGTTTTTGTTCTCTTAGCTTCATCTCACTCTACGAGGGTGTTGTTTTTCTCAGTCCAAGAGAAAATGAAAGTCCAATGTTTCAAGTATGAAGTATATTAAGTAAAACAACGACTCCTCGGACAGAATGGAAAAATAACGTGTAAAATCTTATAACAGAAAAAATGTAAAATTCTACTGAATAAAAGAAACTAGAACAAAGGAAATGCCGCCAATTTGATCCTGCTATTTACTCATAATTTAAGCTGTTGAATAACTACACATGCACCAACTCAGTACAAAATACTTTTAGTTTTACTTTTACTTGCAAATAGGAAGTGAACTCTCTCTCAGTATCAACTGGTTAGTAAAAAAAACAACCACTCACATAACGCCTCTTTGGGTGGTTCATGGTCAACCATAGGTTCCGTTGACCCGGTGTGTCTTCAACACCAACACTTTAATTTCAAACTCCCCTGTACCCATTACCGGTTTATGATTTCACTACCGATTTTCCTTAAATTTCGCTCCACGCGCTTACAAACAAAATAACTTCCCTATTTAGACCGCCTTCCTCAGCCTCTTAGGCTGAGGGATGAGACCCCCGATCTCGTCTCGATGAGTTCCGGTGACCGACTTTTTTTCTCGCAAAAACTCCCAAGAGCCCTCGCGTCAGCAACAAAATCTCATTCCAGCGTTTTTACCCTTCCCAATCATATGATCATCGGCAGGATGTAATATATACATTTGTTTAGTCTAGTCCAACCTGAACATGACCACAACGACGCTCAAAGGTCAGACAGTCATAAAGTAGTTCAAGCGCTTTTCCAACTGGAAAAATATCGACATCGAAGAACCGGGTGATCGACCTCGAGATTATCTTTATGAATAAAATGATATTTGACGTTAACCATCGCAATGCCAGTTATTACAGTCAGAAAGTGTTTTGTAATAGATTTTTCCTCGAGGCAAGCACAATTCAATTAGGATTTCAATAGATTTTTCAATTTCGCATTTATATTGTTAATTTAAGGCTATTAAT